GGGGTGGCCAGGGGACCTTCGTCCTCAAGGGACCTCCTCCCGTTTCGTGCATTGTTTCAGTGTAAGGTTCCCAGAGCTGTGGACACACTGTGTTCTCCTAGAAGAGCTCATTGCACAATGGACCTTTGTATTGAGACTGGGGTCTGGAGTGGAGGGTGATTTAAGCAGAAATTCAGCCCCAAATGCTCAGAAATTATCTGTGGCCCATAACTTCATGCCCTCCTGTTGCAGAGGTCTGACTGCCAGCTATTGGGCTGTGCACTGCATTTGTTTCCCCATTTCACCCTATCTGCAGCCCTAGGAGCTAGGTGCCGCCAACTCCCTGTTGCAGGCAAGGATACCGAGGCTGAAAGAGGAGAAGCATCTTGCCCGCGGTCATTGGCTGAGCTGGGTTTGGAACTCAGTGCTGTCTGATTTCTCAGTACTTTCTGACCTGAAGACTCTGTGACACAAATTTGCTCTTGAAGTTACAAATGCTAAAGCCAGACAGCCCCAGTGACGGTCTGAGTTCACTTCTTCCTGCCTAAGTGGCCTGGGCAGCTGACTGTCCTTCCTGAGCCTCAGTGTCCCCACAGTTATTAGAAAAACTCTAGTGTCCCATGAAAAGCTTTTATTAGCTGTAAATATAAGACGGAAGATTAATCTTCAAGGTAAGTGGAATTGTCATAAGCAAACATATTTTCTCATCGAAGTTGGGGCATGTAGCTCCCCGTGAACCCTTTTTGCCTTCTGTCCCCCAAGAAAACCACTGGGGTTTCCAAGGCCCCCAAACTCAGCCCCCCTTAAACTCGATCTCCACCTGATCTTGCTCTGGGAACAGAACCAATGTCCCGACACTCCCAGGTTTTGGAGAATAGACCGTGGGTGGGTCAGGGCTCCTTGAGAAGATTAACTCTGCCCTTTAGAAACGGGCCTCTCGGTTCACAAAGCACCCCAAAGAAAGGCTCCAACCACAATCAGTCAGATACCTAGGAAGGAGAGGGCACCGCCTACAGCTTCTGAGAAACACGCTGGGAAGGCGTTGACGTCACCAACGTGGGAAGCACTGACCTGAAGTGCCAGCAGCGTGTCCTTCCATGTTTCCTGATGGCCCCTGATCCTTGTCCTGCCTGGGGCAATGGAACAGGCAACACCTTGGCTTCAAGAAGGGCCAACCTCGGAAACAGAAGGCTCTTGAGTTTCCAGCAACCGGGCCTTTGACAAAACAGTAGTGACATAGGACAGACCAGTGCTCACCAGGGGGTGGGGGTGGAGTGAGTGGAAAAAGGCAGCGTGAAGGTGTTTGGGGGTGAAGGAAATGTTCGATTCCCTGGTTATGATAGTGGTGACAAAGCTACATGTGCATTAAAATTTATAGAGCTACACACCAAAGGATAAAAAGCCAATTTTACTGTGGTTTGATTGTTTTATATTTTTTTCAAACCTGGGTTTTTCCATTTCAAAACTCAGGGCACAGGAGACATCAAGAATAACACATATATAATGAATTAAAGCCAGGTTTCCTGCCCCACATCTAGAAAAGTCCCCATGTTGGTAGAGTATGAGAGTCCAAGAGAAATTGAGAACATAGTTCTGGTGGGTTCTGGAAAGTGTCTTGTGCCCTTGCTACTGTTCAGGCAAAACCCATCATGGAGCAACAGATACCCCAAGTTGCAGGTGTCAAGGACAGAGAACATCTGTGCCCAAATCCATCCCTTTCTGCCATCAGACATATGCAGCCTTCTTTCTTCAAACCAACGTCTGTCACCTGTTCAATAACTGGCTGGAAAGCTTGAATCAGTCCCCTTGACTTACCTGTCTTCGTTTTCCCGCAGATAGTAGCAATCAGACCCAACCCAGAGAGTTGTACCAAGATAATAAAACAAAACAAAACAAACAAACAAACAAACAAAAATGGAACCCCTTTAAGGATGATTGATAAGACACAGCTCTGGAAATAATCTAGTTTGAATGGGTAATTGAGCTCAAGCCAGGGCCCTGGCCCCATGGAGGCCTCACTGGACTCTCACAGGAAGGGGTAGCCATTCCTGGGAGGATTTGGCAGGAGGGAAAGCAGAGTGGTTCACTGATGACAGGAGTGGCAAGACCCAGGGACAAGTTCTGACCCACTACTCACCCACAGCTCACCCTTGTGCCCCTTGTCACCATTTCTGAACGTTGGTGTCCCTCTCTAACATTTGAGGGACAACAATACCAACCACTTCTGAGGAAGACGAGGTTAAAGTATGGAGGGCACCCAGCACATAGTAGGAGCTCAATAATTGTGCATTTCCTCCTTTCTTTCTATTGCTTAATAAGGTGTTGGGTTTTGCAGGGCAAGATCTGCTCTCACTGGTCTAAGAACTTGATCTCTCTATGCCTCTCTCTATGCCAGTTTTTTCATCTGTCTAATAGGTTGCCAAGGTCCAAACTGGGGGGGAAAAATGCCTCATTACTTCATTCGGGGAAGGGAAGAAGAGAGGATAAAGGTAAAAACTAAGATGCCACAGCATCCCTCAGGCCTGGGAAGCTGGAAAGACTTTCCGAGGATATGAGACTTTTCCCATCAACCTTCATGACAGCATGAAATTCACAGATGTGGGAAAGCAAGTCAGTGAATATGGAGCACAGGGACTCAGAGAAAGGTCAGGAGTGAGACAGCCTCAGCGCCACATCCACTGCACAACTCTGCATGTGTCAACTCATGCTCTGAGCCTCAGAGTCCCCCGTGACAATGGGAGTACTCCTTCCCACCTCACACAAGCTGAGAGGATGCATGAGATGCTGCCTGTGAAAATCAATGTGGTCCTGGCACACAGCAAGGGCTCGGTGAGTGTTATCTGTTGATGCTGACTTATTGTTACTACTTTCCAATGAGTGTGTGGGTATGGGCACTTATGCCCACTGGGCCTCAGTTTCCTCATCAGCAAAGGAGGAGCAGCAACTCCTCTCTCTCAGAGTTATGGTGAGACTGGAGAGCCCGCAAATAAAGGGAAATCAGAGGCGATTAGATCGGTTTTGACACTTTAGGAACAAGATGCCTCTAGTTGGAGAAAAAGAACTGGGCCAGCAATGGAACAGGGCCTAGATATGAATGAGAAGGCTGGTGCTTTCTCCCCGGGTTCCAAATTTGATCGTCCAGGTCACCTTGGAACGTGGGTCCCCGGCCTCAGCTTCCTGCTCAGGAAACCATGAAGTCTTGAGTAACATCCCCATCTCAGGTTTTGATCTGTTTAACTTGTTAATCAAATGGCTTAACCGATCCACTTACTAATATGATTGGCAATTATTTACTTTGGAGAGCCCTGGAAGACACCACCAGATTTCATAATTCTGCATTCTCTATAAACCCATCATCCGATTGCACGTTTCCTTATTGCCACGCTATAAAAAGGGGCTGCCTCCCTGGCAGGAGCAACCAGCAGAGGGAAGCGGAAACCAGAACCTCTGAGAAGCCCAGGTGAGACCTGCCCGCTCTGCTCCTGCTCTGCAGCCCTGAGGGGCAGGGGTGCCAGGCTCCTTGCTGTGGGGTGGGCACTGGCTGGCTGCACTAAGGATCACTCACTGGGTGTCTTAAAGGAAATAGGACTGCCATTTTCACAAAGATGGCCATTCATTCTGCTTCCCAACCAAACCAGTAATGCCAATATGGAAGCTTTTGAATGTAGAAAAGGGAATTAATTTGATGGTTTTGGGAAGCATGTGACTGTAGGTGTGCACTGCTGAAATCTCCCGTGGGCTTGCTCTTCAGATCCCAAGTCAAAATCTCTGCGGTTCAAGTTTCAACTATGACTGCTATTGTGGATTCAGACCATCATCCACAAGCCTCCTAAAATCCACCCAATTTTATGCATAATGATACATTTTTTTTCTGGGACTAGTAGACTCCTAAGAAGTCTGTTTCCCAAAAGACATTCAGAAGGCCCAATCCCCAGTGAGGCCCCAATGGGCTCTTTGGACCACAAAGCTTTTTCAATTCCAGTTGGTCACAGCAATAATGGTGCTTTGGCCATTTAGGTCAGTTGACGAAATTTTGTTCTAAGTAGCCAGACATTTCCAAAGTATAGGTACCAGCTCCAGCTTTAGACACCTCTGTCAGCTGCCAAAGAGGCCTCTGAGAGGGTTGGTGATATCTGGAAGGAGGCTGGTGCACGAGGCAGCCAACCAGTTGTCAGGGTTCCCCAGAAGTCCATCTAGGTTAGGTAGAGAGAGAGAGAGAGAGAGAGAGAGAGAGAGAGAGAGAGAGAGAGAAGAAGAAGAAGAAGAAGAAGAAGAAGAAGAAGAAGAAGAAGAAGAAGAAGAAGAAGAAGAAGAAGAAGGCAGTTTCAGAAACATACTTCTAATCCCAGCTCTTTCAGCAATTTGCTGTGCTAACTTGAGGCTATCATTATCCTCCTCTGGTCCCCTGATTCTTCTTGTGAAATGAAGATTTTGACTGGCCCAGGATTTCCCCAGCACTGGTCTGGATGAGATGGTGGCTATGACCATATACTCTCTGATCTTTGTGACTCGCAAGGGCAGACCCCAACCAAAAGATTTAAGGAGAATGATGGCAAAGCAGTTCAGTTCCTCAGCAACTTGGCTTGTTTAATTTTTCATTTGCTTTGTCCAAAGAGTAGGAACTAGTGACAATGATTCAAGCCATTGCAAGCAAGCCAATTAGAGAGTAAATCTGATGGACACTTAATTTAACAGAATTCTCCGGGTCAGACAGATCTAACTTCAAATCCTGTCCTCACATGTACCTTGGAAGAAGTCACCTAAACTCACTAGACTCCCATTTCCTCACCTGAGCAATGCAAGTGATTAGAGCCACATCTTAGGGTGCGGTTAAGAGGAAAAAGTTACTGAGTGTGGAGAGCTCAGCCTGATGCCTGGCACAGGAAATTCTGAATAGTGTCAGCTCTTGCTATTTTCTTCCTAGTGTTCTGAGGGCCAGGGGTGGGTAATGGATAAATTTCTTTCTGATATCCATGCCACAGTGGGCCTGTCCTTCTATCCACAGAAACCAAGGAGAGAAGATGCTTCAAATTGGGGGCCTCATTGTCTTCTGTGGGCTGCTGACCCAGACTACAGCCCTGTTGGAAGCCCTGCCCTTGGGTCAGGACCTGCCCTCAGATCCCACGGATCTTGCTGGAAGCCTGATAAATGGTAAGTGAGAGTCTGTGACAATCTCCTTCAGGTGTGTGTGTGTGTGTGTGTGTGTGTGTGTGTGTGTGTGTGTGTGTGTGTGTGTGTGTGTCCAACCATGGAAGGCAGGGATGAATGGGGAAGAGTGACTGAGGATCTGCAATAGTCAGATCTGACCCCTAAGGACCCCTCTAACCATTTCCAGCTATCAACAATGGCCTCCTCTCTGGGGATCTGTTGGAAACTCTCAGAAACCTTCCAATTTTTGACATCCTGAATGCTGAAGAAGACAATTATCATAACCTGGTTGGTAACCTGCTTGAGAGACTGACTTCCATGATCCCTCTCCTGAACAACATCCTTGAGTGAGTAGCCCTAAAGTAGGGCCCTGGTTCCCATCAGAGAACCTCTGTTGGAGATCTGTTTCCCCAGGCAGAGAGATGGGTGGACTGAATACGAGGCCAGAACTTGGTCTGAGGCCCTTCTCATAGTCTGGCAGGGAAGACCAGTCCTCCTGAACCAGCAATTACCCTCAGTCCTGAAGCATAATCTGAGTCCCCAGTGTCATCTGTAATCCTCATGACAACCCTCTGAGGTTGATTTAATAATCCCCACTTCACAGAGAGAAAATTTGAAACACAGAAAGGTGCCTGTGCTCACACAGCTAGAGTGATGCAGAGTGAGAGATCTAACTCTAATTTACTTAGTTCTAAAGTCAAGGCATTTCCCACTACCTGGTGGTAAATTTGTTCTCACCTTTGGAATCTCTTAGAACACAGGTGGCCTTTGATGTAAGCAAGGAAGTGTAACCATTCTCCCCAATGACATTGTCAATGTGATGTCCATGGAATGATTTCATACGGGTTTCCCATGAGACATTTGAGCGCTCACTAAGCAAGAAGGAATAGTGGGAAGCTTCATGCAATGAGCTGGCAGAGCCTGGGTCCTTGATAGGGCTGGATTAAAGCAATTTCCAAGATTCTTACCCACCAGGTGCTTGACCTTGACTTAGAGACAGTCAGATAGCCTTGTGTTTGATTTCGAAATGTACCGTATACTTGCTGGGAGACCTGGGACCAGGCACTCAGTCCCCCTGGGTTTCTCAGTCCCACTCAGTTTCTCTATCTATTGATAAATACTATGATATCCACAAAGGAAGACTGTTGGAGAACTGGAAAAGATGCAACCACCTGGCACAGTGGCTGGCTCAGAGAAGAGGCTTCCTCCCATCATCTTTCCATTCTCCCTGACTTCCTACTTCTCAGTCTCCACGACAAACACTGTTAATTAAGCTGCCATTGAAAGTCATGGCAGCATGAGTGATTCCAACTATAAATGTTTGTTAAAAACTTACTCCAGTTGCCCATACAGCATCCACTCATCCACTTACCCACCCACCTATCTATTTGTCCATTCTTCCTTCCATCTAACCACTTATTCTTTCCTGCATCCATTCATATATTTATCTACTCACCTGCTCATCATTCCATAAAGTCAACCAATATGGGGTGGCTCCCTTCTTTGTAAGGCTCTGGACTGGCATATAGAATGCACATGCAATCCAAACATAATGAAAATATAATTCACTCTCTATTCTAGAACACCTCACAGACTCAAGTTGAGGAGAGGGCCCTGGGTGTGTCAGGATCTGGCCCAGTGCAGAGATTGGGGAGGACTGATGTAACTAAAAACCCATGTGGTTTTGCCACAAGACCCCTCTCCTGTCTCCCCCATCCCACCTCATGGTTAGCTCCACCTCTGGGATGGGTATGATTGGGTTAAAGGTGATGTCTAGGTTTGGGGCTGATGTTTCTCCCTTCACCTCCTGTGCAGTGTGAAGGTCATTAATCCCCAGCTGCTGGAACTTGGCCTTGTGCAGAGCCCTGATGGCCATCGTCTCTACGTTACTATCCCTCTGGGATTGGTCCTCAATGTGAAAACGTGAGTAGGCTCCAAGTAGGGATGGGAAGGTAGCTCACCAAAGGAGACCCTGACGACCACGGCTAGCCAAAAAGCGGGGAGGGAGAGCATTGGAGTCTAACAGACATATGCCCCCAAGTTCAGTTTGTTTGCTGTTAGGTCAGTGACCCAGAGTCACTTGGGAAAGTTACTTGACCTCGTTGAGCCTTGATTTCCCTACTGGGGAATGAGATGAGTACAGCTAAGGAGGGGCGAGGCTGGCATTCCTGGCAAGGAGAAAAGCCTCTGCCTCCTTGGATGTGGTGGGTCCACTATCTCCTCCGCAGGTCCCTTGTCGGAAGTCTGTTGAAGCTGGCTGTGAAGCTAAACATCACTGCAGAAGTATTAGCTGTGAGAAATGAACAGGGGAGGATTCACTTGGTTCTTGGAGACTGCACTCACTCCCCGGGCAGCCTGGAACTCTCCCTGCTTGATGGGTAAGGCCAGAGGGTTGGCTTCACCTGCCCAGAGACAATAGGATGGGATGATGGATAGATGGTTGGAAATATAGAAAAATGGAAGAATGTACTAGTGGGAGGATGGAAGGGTGGGAGAATGAAAGGATGAGAAGGTTGATAGGAGGGAAGAAAAATGGATGGATGGATGGATAGATGGATGGATGGATGGATGGATGGATGGATGGATGGATGGATGGGAGTAAATGGATGGATAAATAGTGACTTGTCCCTTCTTTAGCTGGGCTGACCAATTTTATGCTGGATCAGGCAACACGAAATCTGAGGTCAAACTCCATTTAGGAATCAGGAGAGGTGGAGGGCTTCCTGGATAAACTTGGACAGTATTTTCCCAAACTCTATATCGAGCTACATTGCAGTTGTGGATTGATAGCCCACTAACATAATAAGTGTGAGTCCTGGTAAGGGGTAAAATAGCTACAAAGCCTACCTGGATTACTTCCTTCAGTTACTTGTCACCAGATTGAGTCATGCACAATATGGCAGGAGTTGTCCTCATCATGGCTAACATTTATTGAACACACATATATCGTGCTTCACATATATCATCTCATTAAATCTTCATGGCAACTACACACAAAGGACTGTTCATCCATTTATGGACCCTACAAAGTCTCATTGATTATGTGCTATGTAATGGAACTATATATTTATTCTGCATGTATCACTGTGTGCACTGCTGTGCAGAGTGTCACTCCCTTTGAGCTGCCCCTTGGTGTTTGCCTGTATGTGGATGTGGATGGATGAGGCCCAGTTTCAGGAGCTTAATGCTGAGACTGTGATGGGCCCAGTGACTCCTCAGAAAGCTTCTCCATACCAACCCCAGGCCCCTGCACTGCCCATGGCTTTTCTCTTTCAGAGTTGGCTCCCTCCCCATTCAAAACCTTCTGGACAACCTCACTGGGGTCTTGACTAAGGTCCTTCCTGATCTGGTGCAGCACCAGGTAAGTGGGTAAAGTGGGGGCTCCTAGCCCTGGGATCCTCAAGCTGAAAGAGGCCTCAGGGGTGAGATTTTCTGAGCCCTTCAGTTTGATAAGTAAATTCCATTTGTGTCTATGTGTTCATTGATCCATGTTTCTCCTTTCCACCCTTCAAATGCATTAATTGGTTCTTGCTCTGGGAGAGACCCTGAGCGTGTCCATGCTATAGCTGAAATGGGTTGGCCTTCCCATAGAAGCTCCCAGTTCACCCCCATTATGGCTGCAGACAGCATTCTTCCAGCCTGGCTTTGGGCACCTCCTCTAGCCAGATGTGCAGCCCTCTCACACCAGTACACCTTTTTAGAAACAGACGTCATGTCAGAATGAACCCTGGCTCACTGTGTGGTTGGACACTTCACACACAGGCCTTTGGTTTCTCCTTCTGCCCAATGGAGGTGCAAGCAAAATCTGCGGGAATGCTTGGAAACAAATAGTCTCAGACACAGAGAAATAATAGACAATCTACCCCCCAGAGAATCCATCCTAAAACGATGCTGCTCCCAGAGTCCCCTTCCAGGTACCACTTTGTCTAACTCCCCTCTCTCACGCTGGATCAGGTGTGCCCTCTGCTCAATTCAGTTCTCAGCAACTTGGACCTGACCCTGGTGCATGACACTGCCGGTAAGTACCTGCTTCCGAGCCCTCTCCCCTGCTGCAGGAGCAGTGCCTGCCCCCAAGGAGCTCTGTCCCCACATACCATGGGACAAATAGATCCCTCCAACCTCAACTTCTCCAAAAATGGTTTCTTTTTGCCTTGAATTATGCAGATAATGTTGAGGTATAAGCCTTGTCTCTCCTCTCCTCCTCCCCCCTCACCCTCCCCAATCAGCTCTGACACTGAGAACAAGTGAGCTGGTTGGTGGAAGGAAGTGCTGTCCCTGCCAAGTCCAGCCTGAGCTTGCTCATACTTCCAGAGTTCCCTTTCCCTGACTTTAGGCCTTGGGAGGAATGCTGAATATCCCAGACTCCTTCTCACTGGGATGATCACTCAGGTCTTCAGTGGTTATTTTCTCATTTTCCAGATAAACTGATCCATGGGCTGACATTTGTCTTCAAGGTCTAAGCCTTCCAGAAAGGGACCTGGCCTCTGCTGAGCTGTGAGTGCTGCTCCCAACTCCCCAGTATTTGGGGGGCTACTGCTCTGCTCTTGGGGACAGCATGGGCTATGACAGTAACATCCAAAGAGAGAGACAAACAACTCACATTGACTGCCAGGGTGTTATTTTGCATCTAGAAGGGTTCAGGAATCTTGATAAGGGGTTGTGAGTAAATTAATAAAGATACTAGACATGAAATATAAATTTGGAAGGCATTTTGGGGAAGCTTAGCTTTAGTGCTGAGTTCTCCAAATCTCCCGGCCCAAAGCTTTTTATTCCCACATTTTTCTCTATAGTAAAGCAAACACACATATCAAAGGTAAAGTTTGGTAAGCAGTAAAGTATCAGGTTGGGGGAACTGTTTAGCTGTTTGGCCAGCACAGGTAATAACATGTAGATTTTCAGGTTTGGGAAAAAGCCCTCAACTGTCTGGCAGCAGGCAATAATATGTATCTTCAGCCCTGCTGAAGCCTCAAGGTTCACCAACCTTTTGATGAATTGCTTGCATTTATGACCTGCTGGAATTAGCCCCCAGCAATTGACAAGCACAGATTTGCACAGAAAAGTCCACATAAATGCTGACAGAGATAGAGAGACATAGTTGCAAACAAAATGGATGCACACTCATAACCAAACACATGATCACTCAGACAAAGATACACACTTTCACACCAGCACACTCATACATGTGCATACATATGCAAACTCTCCACACACAAGTGTCCATGGATACACAAACACACATTCACTCAAACACATACACAAAAAGCCTTATCATCCCAGTCCTGGGCTCCCTTTGTGTCTGAAACAAGATGCCTAGCCCCAGCGTCTAACCTCCCCACCTTTCTCTGGAGGGTTTGGCGATGACCAATATCAATGAGAGTCAGTGACACCATTCTGATCGGGGTCTTCTCCCAACAGAACCATTTCCTGATGCTTCTGAGGACTCACAGAAGGCTATCTATGTCCTGGACACTGTTTGGGGACCAGGACAGCCTTTTCTCCAAGGAAACTGCTCCCCCACCCTTTCCCACTACACTGCATATTCCTCACCAAATAAAATTGCTCTTTGTCTGCACAGAGTGCCTTGTCATTCCTCACCATCACTGGAGGGCTCTAGGCCTGGGTGTTTGGAGACATAGAACTGAGTTAGGACCTTACCTTGGAGATCTTTATGGTCTTCAGCAGGACCAAGAGAAGTTCAGATGAATGTGAATTTCAGAGTGGCTACTCTGGGGCCCTTAGAATAGGAGGACAGGAGGTTAGGGGTAGATGTAACTCTCTAGGCAACATTACCACACAAGAAGTAAAAATGGCAAATTTGAGAAATGTTCAGGAGGTGGGTTTGGATAGGTGTAGATGAGGACAGGGGCTCCTGTCCATGTCTCAAGTTGGGGAGCCCAAAGGTAACTGGAAATGTGGGAGGGCGAGTTGATTCCAGCAGGAAGATTATGACTTTAGCTGTGGCCACGCTGCACAAAAGTATTTGGGCAACCCCAAAAGAGAGTCCAGGAAACTGACAGATACATAATTCATCTATCACTGCTTTTTGCTACTTGCATCTAGTCATACTGGCCTCTTTTCTGTTCTCACAGCAAGAGGAAGTTAAGGTTTAAAAAAAAAGGGGGGGGGGGAATATAGGATCCTGGCCAGATGGCTTATTGGTTGGAGAATTGCCCCATACACCAAAAGGTTGCAGTTTGATACCCTATCAGGATTTCTCTCTCTCTCCCTCCTTCTCTCTCTCTCTCTCTCTCTCTCTCTCTCCCTCTCTCCCTCTCTCTCTCTCTCTCTCCTCACTCAATTCAATAAAAACATATCCTCAGATTAGGATTAAAAAAAAAGAAGTGTACACATGACCTCACTTATATATGGATGATAAAGAACATTATAAACTGAAGAATCAAAAGATAGATATAGAGACAGTAAAGCAACAAGCAGACTGTCAAATTACAGCAGGGAGGTTGGGGAGATCTGGGGGAGATAAGAGATCAACCGAAGGACTTGTATACATGCATATAAGTACAACCAATGGACACAAAACTCTGGGAAGGGAGGGTATATACGGGAGGGGGGGCATTGGTATATGTACAAAAATAATAATTTAATAAAAAAATATATTAAAAAAAAGAAGTGTAGGAAGAAGGACAAACTGGTCCAAAGTGTTCATTGCTGAAAGGCTTGAGGAAGGTAGGGATAGAAAAGGGGCATTGGAATTGCATATGAAAAGATGATTGAGGCCACAGGTGAATGCCATAGTTTTGGAGGAAGAAGACTTTAAAGGAACTAAGAAGAGGAAGGTTTTAAGGAGACTGAGACTGTTAGATAAGATTTATGAAAAACTGAATGCATGAATGAAGAACAAGGCTACCCAGGATGGGAAAGTTTGTCTCTTTAAATAAAAAATAAATATGCTATCATAGTTTGAGATCCTTATTGGACTTGCTCAACCTTTTCACTCCACACATGAGAGTACTGAGCCTTGCAGTTTATAAGAATGACTTGCACAAGGTCAGACAGTGACAAAAAGGCAAACAAGAACTGAAACATCCCAGACTTCACAGAAAATCTTATCCCTCGCTCTTTGGGAGACCGCATAGATTCAGGGGAGTGTTTCTCAGTCCTTGTCAAATATTTGTCACCATGTCCAGACCACCACTGTCTGCACCTACTATTGCCACCAACCAACGTGACACCATGAGAGGACAGTTCCAGAGTTCGGAGTTCAGGACTGCAATTGTAGGAAACCAGCATGTGTCTCCTGGTGAGGACTTAAAGAATGAGGCATCTTTCACACTCGCTGAGATCTTTGAGCTCAGGATGCATAAATTCCATACACAGCTCAGGATGCGTAAATTCCATACACACTGCATACACAATGGATGTCTACTTAGTGACCTGAAGTACAGAGGACCTTCCTGAATGAGAGACAGCCATCAGGGCCTGATTGGGCTCAGGGAGGATCCAAGCATTAACTACCTTCATGTTCCTTTGGGGCAGGCATAGGTCAAGACTGAGGGTCCTCCTTGGCCAAAGGTCCAAAAGTCAGTGTGGATAAGGGCAGGTGCACACACGTAGGATCATGAGAATTGGTCTTGGTGCCCCATGACCATGGCACCAAACTGCATTCCTGCCTAGACACACTTCCCCTGCCCATTCTGGACCATTTTCCCACTGCTCCCTGGACTTCTTCCTATAGCTCACCGATGGGTCTTTCCCTTCCCCTGACAATTTCAATTTGTAACTAACTAGTCTAAGTCTCCCCTAGATACAAAACAGTCTGAGAGGTGGCAGGTTAATGAAAACACATGACTTTTAAAGAGTGACAACATTTTAACACTAAAAAAAAAAAAAAAAAAAAAAAAAAAAAAAAAAAAAAACTACCTAGAAGGATGTCAGTGAAAATGGCAGACTAAAGATCTTTTGCTTGCTAGTGTGGCTCAGTGGTTGAGCATCAACATTTGAGTCAGGAGGTCGAGATTTGATTCCCGGTCCGGGCACATGCCCAGGTTGTAGGCTTGATCTCCAATATGGGCAGTTGATCCATGATTCTCTCTTATTATTGATGTTTCTATCTCTCTCTCCCTCTCCCTTCCTCTCTGAAATCAATTAAAAAATATATTTTAAAAGACCTCTAAAAATTATCTCCTACATAAAAGCAATTAGAAAATCAGCAACAACAACAAAAAATGGTCAGAACCAACTTTTTCAGAATTCTTGAAATTAACCAGAGACTTCAGCAACCTGTACGGGGGGGGGGGGGTATTTATTCAATTGATATATAATCTTGGACTCTGTGAGCCTGCCTTGTTCAGTAGCATTTCCTCTCATATTCTATAGAGGCCACTAAGGACTCCAAAGAATATGCAGAGCAAATATCAAAGGTTTTCAGTGAGTTGTATGAAATTGATCCACCAGGGGGAGTGAAGACTGTGGTTCTCACCATAATCATGAACCCTCTGGACCACGAGGGGGCAGGCACTGCCCCCATCAAGTACAGGGACCTACCTAGCAGCAGAGTACTCAAAGAAAGAAGGAAGGCGGTCATTCACCATGACCAGCCATTTAGAGCAACATCTGTTTGTGTGTGTGTGTGTGTATATATATATATATATATATATATTTTAATTGATTTCAGAGAGAAAGGGAGAGGGAGAGATAGAAACATTAATGATGAGAGAGAATCATTGATAGGCTGTCTCCTACACGAACCCACAACCCCGGCATGTGCCCTTGACTGGAATCAAACCCGGCACCCTTCAGTCCACAGGCCGACACTCTATCCACTGAGCCAAACCAGCTAGGGCCATATCTGTCTTAAATGTCAGCCAGTGAGGAGGAGAAAATGTGCTTGAGTTCTTGCCCTTGCAACGTGCTTCACATCTCTGCTTGATCATTAATGTCAAAAGACAGCATCTTGACTTGTTTCATCTCTCTTGTCCTTCCCAATCCTTCACAAGGGCCTGGATCTACTGTCTCTCAGACTCCTTCCTCTTTTCCGAGTTTTCATCATAAAACCTCAACAGTTTCTCTGCCACCTGCTTTCATTCTCTTTTCTATTTCCAACTCCCCATTTCCTTTTTCTACTAATTATCCTCAATAGTAATGTCTCAAAATTTTCACACTTAAAAAAAAAAAAAGAAAAAAATCTAAGCTTCTATGGTACTAGTCAGAACAGAACAAGTCTGTGCTGCAGAAACACAATAAAATTTGATTCTTCACTCACATTCTCACTCCATGCTCCATTTTGGAGCTATCTCATTTGAAATTCATGAGCTCCATAGTCACCATGACGGCACAGTGAGGGCTGGCAGATGGTAAGACGTTATTGAGGGCCAGGCTGAAAACTAGCATGCATGCATCACTTCCTTCACATCCCACTGGCCAGACATTCTGAACCCCAGTCTCCTCATCTGGAAAAAAAATCTCAGAGAGGATTTATGGAAATTAAATCAGCTAATCCATG